TGTATGTGTCTGTATGTATCTGTATGATTTGATTTGTATGTGTTTCTGTGTTTGTATGACAGTGTACCTGTGTGACTTTGACTGTGTGACTGAAAAATGATGCCTGTGGCTTGGGAGGAAATACACACAGGTGAAGATGCTTTTTTTTTTTTTTTTAAAGGAGGGTGAGGGGCGCCAAAATGCATCTTTGCCTGTGTAAGTAAAAATCCTAGCACCGGCCCTGGTCTCACTACCCGTAGGATACACTGCCGCTGGGGAGAGAGACTGACTGACTGTCTCTTCTCCCAATAACACATGCTGCTGCTGGGGAGGAAGCATGACACACTTCTCTCCCTGTGATGCACACTGCCGCTGGGGAGTGAGACCGGATGTCTCCACTCCCTGTAACACCCTTGGCTGCTGGGGATGGAGGAAGATACTCTCCTCTCCTTGTAACTCTGTCTGCTGCTGGGGAGTGAGACCAACTGTCTCCACTCCCTGTATAGTACCCTGCCGCTGGGGAGAGAGGACAATACCCTCCTCTCCCTATGATGCATACGGCTGCTGGGGAGTGAGACCGGTTGTCTCCACTCCCTGTAACACACACTGCCGCTAGGGAGTGAGACCGACTTTCTCCACTCCCATTAACTCGTCCTGCCACTGGGGAAAGGAACCAATTGTCTCCTCTCCCTATAAAACACTTTAAAGGCTTTAAAGGATACCTGTCATGACAAATACAACTTATTTTAAATTATAGAGAATTAAATCATATCTATGCATTGTGCTGGCACAATTGATATCAAATGTCCAGGCAAATGTCTAGCAATTGTCTAATCTCTAAAATCAGAGGTAACACCTATCAGTCAGTTCTTTGCTGAAACTGTGCCGATCAGCACAGAGATCAAAGTTTCAGAGAAACTGCTATGTTTATATTAGGGTTAATCCAGCCTCTAGTGGCTGTCTCCCTGACAGCCGCTAGAGGCGCTTGCGTGCTTCTCACTGTGAAAATCACAGTGAGAAGACGTCAGCGTCCATAGGAAAGCATTGTGAATGCTTTCCTATGAGACTGGCTGAAAGCCGCAGATGCACATTCCGCCGAGGAGGCGGAGAGGAGGAGGAGAGCTGGAGAAAGAGGTAATTTTAGCCCTTCCACCCCCTAGAGCCCGACGGGAGGGGGACCCTGAGGGTGGGGGCACCCACAGGGCACTATAGTGCCAGGAAAACGAGTATGTTTTCCTGGCATTATAGTGGTCCTTTAAGGGTACAGAACACTGCCAATACTTATCCTTTTGTTGCAGTGTAAGCATGCAGAAGCCAAACACAGAAATATTGGACACAGGTCTTCAGGAAGTAACAGGCCTTTATTCACATTACCGATCGGGTCTCAGATGAACTCCTGTTCCAACATTCTGAGAGACATATACTTGTGGCTTGGGACTTTTGTTAACTGCATATCTCCTCCCATACAGTATAACCCCTCCTATATTCCTCAGACCAATCAATGAGCAGAATATAGACTTGTACATCTAGTCAAACCACATGGCTCATCCAAGACAAAGGAAATAAGTGCAATTTCAGTTCCTGCATTCCTGCACATGCTCAGTACACTGATGACAGTATCCTAGCTACATGTAGCTAACCAACTGACACAACATACACATATGCCACATGGAGATTTTGGCCTACTAAATTTTAACCATGCTGGAATCCCATCACATTCCCCCCTTTTGATGCCTCTGATATAACATTATTCCAGATGCATCACCAATCACAGTTTTACCTACATCTCTCAAGTAGCCATTGAACCAGAGTAGACCTTGTAAGCATCTTAAAAACTCCTTCAACATTCTTCATCCTGAATATATTCTCTTCGGGCTAGGGGATCATATCTTCCAGACAGCCATTACATGAGCCGCTGTCTTTCTCTCTATAGTACTCTCTATAATGCTACGTAGGGACCTTACCACTAGTGGAATTAGACAGGGCAGGAGGAGGCACAAAAAAAATATAATAAATTCTACTCCTCCTACTAATGTCTTAATTCCTCCAAGCTGCTCATACCAACTTCCAAACCAACTACTTAGGTTATACCCATTCCAGACCTGAGTAGGTACATGCTCAAATTTAACCATGTGGCTTGTAAGTTCAGCCACTGCCTGCCCTTCATCATCTATGTGCAGACAACAGTTACTTAGATTAAACTTTCCGCATACACCTCCTTCTACTGCTAGTAAGTAATCAAGGGCTAGCCTATTCTGGTATATGGCTGATCACATCTTGGTATTTTGCTTAGCTAGAAGATTAAGCACTTGAGCTGTCTCATTAGTAATAATCTCAACTACCGCCTGTAGTCTAATAATGCGGTTGAGCATAGATAATCGGAGTTCTATATCCATAAGTGCCATCTTCTGCCCAAGTAGCAGGTCCATAATAATTAATAATACGTTGAGGGGGCCACTCATTATCTTCCCAGCTACCTATATTCAAGGATGCTCTCTCCCTTTTATGATTTACATCGTAAACCTTAACTCCCAAGGTCTCTCCTGTTTCGATTGGCAACAAGAAGAAGGATGGCTTTGGCATACCTAATACACATGCCCCTTCCCAATCTTGTGGTAACTCCGAATAAGTTTTCTTACCACAAATCCAGTATAAATTTGCTGGGGCTTTCCAACTAGATGTAGCCGATAAGTCAAACCATACCTCCTTTAAATGAGTGTAATTGGCAACCGGATTAGTAGGTTCCGAGACATTTGAAGCTGACCACCAAGTAGTATTTTAGTATTAACATTATAGGCTTTTTGTCCCAAGCAAGTTAGCTCACCTACAGACGTGTTCTACATTGTCCCTTTCCTGGCTATACAAACATGACCTATAATGGAGGTTTTTAACCACCATTCCAATTTACTTCTAGTACTTACTTGATGATCAGACTGGAAAGGTATCTATTGTTCATATGTCTCAGAGCCAGGGTACCATATTTCCTTTGCCTCCCATGGCCACTGGTCTCCCATATTAGTACCTCCACACACATAGCAATTAGTTACATTAAGACTACCTGCAATACCCTCAGCCAAATCAATAAATAGGTTGTTAACATTATGGGGAATTTTATCCTCAGTACTCATCTCCTCATAGAAGGAATGAGAAACCTGATGAGTTTGAGTTGCCACTGTCTCAGTTTCAAGACCTACATATATTATTGTTCCTGAATCTACTCCTGTGCCATATATTTGGAACCCAAACAGACCTCCAAACCTGTCAATAAAGTACTGCAGATTGGAAATGGTCATGTGAACGGGGTTACACACATAGTTTTACAGTATGGTGTGGTAGGCAACCTTTGGATAATCATATCTTGATCCACTGTTTTTCCCAGGTTGCCCAACCTACACATGACAAATAGGGGCAGAAGTTAGTCTCTATTTGGGCAATCAGGATCAGTAGATCTTTTACTGGGACATAAGTATTTATCATTAAACCCATAAGTTCGTTCCCATTTAAGATTACCACATACATTCCAAAGTCTTCCACTACCCGAAATCGCCTTACATGCATCAAATAGTAGAATACCCGTGGAATGTATGGTGCTTATCACAGTCCTATTTATTAATGTCCCCTGGGAGTTACTATTCCGAATTACCAACCAAATTGTACGGGGTTGGAAATGGGGATCAAAACATTTAGACTCTCCTGATATTGGCTTGCACACACTATAATCAATATCCAAATATCTACATTTAGATACAGATCCCTTACATTCATACTGTGAGTGCCAGATGAAAGTTTGGGATATTTGGTTACCTGTTTTAGTAGTCTTAATGCAACTATCGCAATTCGGTATGTCTGTACTCCTACCTTCCTGAAAAATCATAAAAATACTAAGACACAATAAAACACATTATTCCTGAAATCCTCATTTTTCTTCGACCGTGCGATGGCCTCTCAGCTTCCCGATTGTGAGGGCTGCAAGGATGTTGTTCTTCTGATCCTCACTTTCCTTCACAGAGATCCCTTCAAGATACTCTGGCTATGACACGTAGGCAGGTGGTCAGGCTTTATTATGGCCGTCAAAACACCTACTTGATGATCTTTGTAGACTTTTAACTAGAATGTCTCGATATCCCCTCGTCACTCCGACTAAGTTGCACGCTTCAACCGGGTCCTGCAAGGATTCTCAGGATCTGGAGTAGCTTGCCAAGAGTCTGCTGCTGGTTTAACCTTAGAATGATGAATCCAAGGAGTCACTTCCGCCACCTTTACAGCTGTTGGGGTAGATAAAAGAACAACATACAAAGGCTAACAGGATACACCCCGAGCTTTAACTCAATATGTATTGGTGGGATATTACGAGCAAGTCCTGGAGGATTATTTTCTTCCCATACTCCTGGAATGTCAAATAAGGATTCATCACTCTTAGGGTTAACACTTGTCACTATGGAATAGAAGCGTCATTCTTCTTCCCTTGGCACCGATATCACCATTATGCCTGGTAATCCCTTAAACTTCAGAGATGTTAATCCATTAGGTAAAAGGTTATCTGAGCTTAAAGCTTCGATAATAGATCTCGTCCTAAAAGTTGAATCGGACACTCTGGCATATATAGGAACTAATGCTTCACCACATGGCCTCCCAGAATACAAGTGCGACTCTTAAGAACCGGTCTAGCTGCACTTCTCCCAGTAGCTCCTATCACAGTTATAGTCTTCCCCGAAGGCGGAGCCACCATCTTAGTCACCACAGAATGTTCAGCACCTGTGTCGATCATGAAAGAACTTCTCTTTCCCCCTATTGCTACATCGACCATAGGCTCGCTCGACCAAGTGGGATGGAGCCCAGTGGTATCAATAGTCTTCCATCAGCCAGACCCACAAAATCTCTATCCTCTCTTTCTCTAGGTCTCTGCGTGGGTGGATAGTATCTGTCTCCTTGAACACTTCCTCTACTATTCCCACCATTCCCTCTAAAACTTCCTCTTACTCTATAACTACCACTATAACCTCCTCGTACCCTTCTCTCTCCTTGTCTATCACCTTCATACTGCTCTCTCTGTGGACACTCACTCTTCCAATGTCCCTCCTTTCTACAATACGCACATTAATTCCTACTTAAAGTCCCTTGCTCAGCCTATTCTCGTCTCCTCTATTCACTTCCCTGTCTTTCTACACTTAAGATAGCTACCGCTAGCATATCTTCCTTTTTCCTCATTTTACGTTCTTAATCCGTCTCCCTATTCATATATACTGTATTTGCAATCTCCATTAGCTGTATTATGGACATCCCTGCAAATCCCTCTAATTTTCTGTAATTTCCTTTTACTATCACCTTGGGCCTGGCTGACAAATGCTGAGTCTATAATTCGGAAGTTTTCAGGGGCCTCTGGATTAAAGGGAGTATACAACCTATTTGACTCAAGCAGTGTCTAATATGGGACTTCGGCAAGGCTGCCCAATAATAGGTTCCAGTCTAGGAGTAGTAAGATAATTTTATTAGTCAGCATTTGGTGGATGAAAAAACGTTTTTTTTTAAAGTGTTAAACCAAAAACCTACCAGTAGGTGTCACCAGAGGGTAATTGTATCAAAATAATCTTTATGGGTCTAATAAGAAAACTCAACTTTTAATATATTTATACATAAAATAAAACCTTATAGCAATAAATATATTAAAATAGGGTAAGCAATCCTACATCTATCTGTTATAAACAATGTATTATCAATGTAACTCCCGAAGATGGCCAGTAGGTGGCTTAGAGTGCCTCCCTAAAGTCAAATGAAACAAATAGACTTTAATTAATTATGTCCTATTTTATTATTACTTATTTTAATCAATGTCCACCCTGCTAGCTAGGCTTGATTAAATCTTTAGTTCTAAGGTAAATTAAACATTTCAGTTTGTAGTTTAGTAAAAGGGGACATTTTGGACAAAGCTGGGAGGGGCCCATCCAGTAACTAAAAAAACCAATATACCATCTGATACCATTGATCATTGATTAGGGGGAGGGGTAGTACAGAAATACAAGAGTTTGAAACACAGGAACAGATAGGTATGTGGGTAGGCGGGGACAGTAGAGCAGGGGGAGTGCAAATACTGACTATATACCAGTTTTGGGAGTAAGAAATGGGCGTGGCTACTCTGGCTCTGGAGGATGTTTGGGGGTTGGTAATCAGATGCCAGGGGGGGAGGGGATGTCCAAAGCAGTTGTAATTAAGTCCTTAGTTCTGACCACCATATGGCTACATTGTTTCCCATATGACACAGTTTAATTCACCAAGGCAACAATCAGTTTCCAACAGTCAATATATAGAAACTGATCATAGAATTCCAGCCTACTAGTTACAGCCACATGTACACCCTGCACTAAATTTAAGTGAAGACTGCTACATGGAGGCCATGCGGCCACCAGGACAAGCTACTCCCTACTTTTTTTTTTTTTTTTTTTAAACATACAAGACAAAGCCTTGTGAATCAGAAGATTATTTCAACAGAGCATCTGATTCAAAAAGCTGTACAAATATACACACAGTTTCAACAGTCACACCAATCTCCTTATCACCAGCAACACATTGCGCAGTCACTAGGCCCAAACACACACACAGGATCCTCACATGCTCAACAATATCACGACGTCGCACACACGAAATTAAATCAAAAACCCACCAAAGACTATACACTTATCAATGTAACTATTATTCAAACCATACAACTATCCACGCTATTAATCCATATAAACTAACCGATCACATAACATTTCAACAAATTTCATCTCTACAATTATCTGTACTATAAATCAACTCTTGACTAACCAACTATATCACATTCTAGTAACCTCATCTTTACAGTCAGTGGTTATGGTACAGTTAGTAAGTGGTTATAATACAGTTTTAAAGTCACAGATCAGTTAGTAACAGTTATGGTATTATACATATAACATAAAACAGCAATTGTTAGTAATTTTACACAATGTCAGTGGTTATGGTACATGTCAGTAGTTATGGTACCGTGCGCTATTTTACAGTTATACACACAATTTACACTCCCACTAGACAGCAGAGCTCTAACTTTCTAGTAGGACATACAAGTTAACCAATTCACCAACTACAATATATTTAACAACATTTACAATAATCCCAACTATTCTAACTGGCCAGCACCTCGAGAGCTTTCGATCTATTTATACACCAGAGATTCGATAAGTTCTTCGCTGCCCAGACACCACGTATAGCGAACTAGAGGGCAGAATTTACACAGTACCCAGCTAGTCTATTAAACTATCAATAAGCTAGTGGCTGGATTTACAACAGAGCACACTTAGTTAAGATAGGGTGAAATCTAGCAAACTATAATATACAACAGAGTATGCTAGTCTCCCGGTCCCCCCGACCTAGCGAACAAAATTTACACCCTAGATACGCTAGTCAAGACAGGACACCGGTGTCCGACATGAGCTATTTACACCAGAACTCAGTCTGACCCAAACCACCTATATTAGACGGGCTGACTACAGAGCGTCTAATTTCCAGATAAGTGTTGCGCTTTCACTTCTTCCTTCTATTGAAGGGGCCAATACCAATAACCGGTTCCAAATATAAAACCCCTTGTGGGTCTACCGCTCTAACGGTATCAATCTCACCTGTTAATTACTGAACCTGGGTTCACTCATAGACGGAACAATCCGGGACTCACTGCGCAGAAGCCGATGATCTCCTGGACAAAAGGCCAGTGGCGCCGAGATGAAAGGAGGTCCACGCAGTAGAAGTCCAGGATTGTAGCGTAGAAGGTTTGGTAAAAGTTTACCGTCTCAAATCTCTGTGCCAGCTTCCGTGCGATGAGGTTCCCGGCCCAATTGCACCAGAAATGTTGCAGTGTAAGCATGCAGAAGCCAAACACAGAAATATTGGACACAGGTCTTCAGGAAGTAACAGGCCTTTATTCACATTACCGATCGGGTCTCAGATGAACTCCTGTTCCAACATTCTGAGAGACATATACTTGTGGCTTGGGACTTTTGTTAACTGCATATCTCCTCCCATACAGTATAACCCCTCCTATATTCCTCAGACCAATCAATGAGCAGAATATAGACTTGTACATCTAGTCAAACCACATGGCCCATCCAAGACAAAGGAAATAAGTGCAATTTCAGTTCCTGCATTCCTGCACATGCTCAGTACACTGATGACAGTATCCTAGCTACATGTAGCTAACCAACTGACACAACATACACATATGCCACATGGAGATTTTGGCCTACTAAATTTTAACCATGCTGGAATCCCATCACACTTTTATAATAAAGGTCTCTTAGATTATAGTCAGGGGACACCTCCTATTGTTTCTTCCCAGCTACACCCATCTCGTGTGTTTTGGCATTGTAATGGTAATGCTGTCCAAAAGTGTTTTAGTACACCTTATATATTATGCTTCTTCTGATCAGTCTGTGCCCTGTCTTTTTTTGCTAACTGAGAGTGTTCCTATATTGATTGTTATTTCCTGTTACTGACTTGGTTCAGTTTGAACTCTCTGATTTTCTGGAATCCCTGACATTGGCTTGCCTTATGATTGTGTGTAGCTCTGGTATCCCTGACCTTGGCTTGTTTTTTTGACTTAGATATTTTGCATACTATAGGCATATCCTCCTTTTGTATTGTGATTGGGTGACTACTTATCCTGACAAAAGAGTAGTATTTATAGTTAGTTGTTTTTTTTCTGTGTCACAGAATATTTATTATACTTTGTGATTTATTCCATGAATACAGGGCCGGACTGGGAAAAAAATTCGGGCCGGGCATTTTTTTTATCACAGTGGCCCACTAAGAGGGGGGTGGGGCAGAGAGGGTGTGTTTTGTCATCACTAATGACAAACATGCCCCCTCTCAAAGTGAGCATGTTGGTTCAATGCTCTTCCAGGGCAGACCATGCGCAAATACAAATGCAGAGCTCTAGCATGAGAAAAAAGCCCTGTATTTGTTCTGCACAGCGCAAGCAAATTTAATAACATGCTTGAAGTGTGTTTCCTTGCAACTTGTCTCTGTTGTCTCTCTGAATAGGAGACAAAAATGCCAGGAAAGAGTATTGTGCATGTGTTTGGAGCCTGCTTGTGGTATTGCGTGTGTGCAGAGTGAGCTGATTGTGGTGTGGTATTGTGTAATAAGGTTGGTTTTAGTCGTGT